GGCAGATGTTGCAGGTGTATGGTGTAGGAGGTAGGTTACTGAAAGCAGTGAAGAGTTTTTACGAGGATAGTGAGGCTCAAGTTAGAGTATGTAGGAAAGAGGGAAATTATTTCCCAGTAAAAGTAGGCCTTAGACAAGGATGTGTGATGTCACCTTGGTTGTTTAATATATTTATTGATGGGGTTGTAAGAGAAGTAAATGCGAGGGTCTTGGCAAGAGGCATGGAGTTAAAAGATAAAGAATCACACAAAGTGGGAGTTGTCACAGTTGCTCTTTGCTGATGACACTGTGCTCTTGGGAGATTCTGAAGAGAAGTTGCAGAGATTGGTGGATGAATTTGGCAGGGTATGCAAAAGAAGAAAATTGAAAGTGAATACAGGAAAGAGTAAGGTTATGAGGATAACAAAAAGATTAGGTGATGAAAGATTGGATATCAGATTGGAGGGAGAAGTATGGAGGAGGTGAATGTATTCAGATATTTGGGAGTGGACGTGTCAGCGGATTGGTCTATGAAGATGAGGTGAATCATAGAATTGATGAGGGAAAAGGGTGAGTGGTGCACTTAGGAGTCTGTGGAGACAAAGAACTTTGTCCTTGGGGGCAAAGAGGGGAATGTATGAGAGTATAGTTTTACCAACGCTCTTATATGGGTGTGAAGCATGGGTGATGAATGTTGCAGCGAGGAGAAGGCTGGAGGCAGTGGAGATGTCATGTCTGAGAGCAATGTGTGGTGTAAATATAATGCAGAGAATTCGTAGTTTGGAGGTTAGGAAGAGGTGCGGGATTACCAAAACTGTTGTCCAGAGGGCTGAGGAAGGGTTGTTGAGGTGGTTCGGACATGTGGAGAGAATGGAGCGAAACAGAATAACTTCAAGAGTGTATCAGTCTGTAGTGGAAGGAAGGCGGGGTAGGGGTCGGCCTAGGAAAGGTTGGAGGGAGGGGGTAAAGGAGGTTTTGTGTGCGAGGGGCTTGGACTTCCAGCAGGCATGCGTGAGCGTGTTTGATAGGAGTGAATGGAAACAAATGGTTTTTAATACTTGACGTGCTGTTGGAGTGTGAGCAGGGTAACATTTATGAAGGGGTTCAGGGAAACTGGCAGGCCAGACTTGAGTCCTGGAGATGGGAAGTACAGTGCCTGCACTCTGAAGGAGGGGTGTTAATGTTGCAGTTTAAAAACTGTAGTGTAAAGCACCCTTCTGGCAAGACAGTGATGGAGTGAATGATGGTGAAAGTTTTTCTTTTTCGGGCCACCCTGCCTTGGTGGGAATCGGCCAGTGTGATAATAAAATAATAAAAATATGATAGAGTGGATAGAGGAGCAATGTGGCAGATGTTGAAAGTATATGGAATAGGTGGTAAGTTACTAAATGCTGTTAAGAGTTTTTATGAGGATAGTGAGGCTCAGGTTAGGGCGTGTAGAAGAGAGGGAAAATACTTCCCGGTAAAAGTAGGTCTTAGACAGGGATGTGTAATGTCACCATGGTTGTTTAATATATTTATAGATGGGGTTGTAAAGGAAGCAAATGCTAGGGTGTTCGGGAGAGGGGTGGGATTAAATTTTGGGGAATCAAATTCATAATGGGAATTGACACAGTTACTTTTTGCTGATGATACTGTGCTTATGGGAGATTCTAAAGAAAAATTGCAAAGGTTAGTGGATGAGTTTGAGAATGTGTGTAAAGGTAGAAAGTTGAAAGTGAACATAGAAAAGAGTAAGGTGATGAGGGTATCAAATGATTTAGATAAAGAAAAATTGGATATCAAATTGGGGAGGAGGAGTATGGAAGAAGTGAATGTTTTCAGATACTTGGGAGTTGACGTGTCGGCGGATGGATTTATGAAGGATGAGGTTAATCATAGAATTGATGAGGGAAAAAAGATGAATGGTGCGTTGAGGAATATGTGGAGTCAAAAAACGTTATCTATGGAGGCAAAGAAGGGAATGTATGAAAGTATAGTAGTACCAACACTTTTATATGGATGTGAAGCTTGGGTGGTAAATGCAGCAGCGAGGAGACGGTTGGAGGCAGTGGAGATGTCCTGTCTAAAGGCAATGTGTGGTGTAAATATTATGCAGAAAATTCGGAGTGTGGAAATTAGGAGAAGATGTGGAGTTAATAAAAGCATTAGTCAGAGGGCAGAAGAGGGGTTGTTGAGGTAGTTTGGTCATTTAGAGAGAATGGATCTAAGTAGAATGACATGGAAAGCATATAAATCTATAGGGGAAGGAAGGAGGGGTAGGGGTCGTCCTCGAAAGGGTTGGAGAGAGGGGGTAAAGGAGGTTTTGTGGGTGAGGGGCTTGGACTTCCAGGAAGCGTGCGTGAGCGTGTTAGATAGGAGTGAATGGAGACGAATGATACTTGGGACCTGACGATCTGTTGGAGTGTGAGCAGGGTAATATTTAGTGAAGGGATTCAGGGAAACCGGTTATTTTCATATAGTCGGACTTGAGTCCTGGAAATGGGAAGTACAATGCCTGCACTTTAAAGGAGGGGTTTGGGATATTGGCAGTTTGGAGGGGTATGTTGTGTATCTTTATACGTATATGCTTCTAAACTGTTGTATTCTGAGCACCTCTGCAAAAACAGTGATAATGAGCGAGTGTGGTGAAAGTGTTGAATGATGATGAAAGTATTTTCTTTTTGGGGATTTTCTTTCTTTTTTGGGTCACCCTGCCTCGGTGGGAGACGGCCGACTTGTTGAAAAAAAAAAAAAAATATATATATATATATATATATATATATATATATATATATATATTATATATATATATATATATATATATATATATATATATTATATATATATATATATATATATATATATATTATATTATATATATATATATATTATATATATTATATACATATATATATATATATATATATATATATATATATATATATATATATATATATATATATATCTTTCTTAGTAGTAGTAGTAGGTTGGTCGAAAGCAAATGAGTGTAAAACGAAAGCCTGTAATTGTTTTACACGGTAGGATTGCTGGTGTCATTTTATTCTGTCTCATACACATGCAAGATTTCAGGTACATCTTGCTACTTCTACTTACACTTAGGTCACACTACACATACATGTACAAGCATATATATATACACACACACCCCTCTGGGTGTTCTTCTATTTTCTTTCTAGTTCTTGTTCTTGTTTATTTCCTCTTAACTCCATGGGGAAGTGGAACAGAATTCTTCCTCTGTGAGCCATGCGTGTTGTAAGAGGCAACTTAAATGCCGGGGGCAAGGGGCTAGTAACCTCTTCTCCTGTAAATATTACCAAATGTAAAAGGAAAAAAATTTTTCGTTTTTCCTTTTGGGGCCCCCCCGCCTCGGTGGGATGGGGCCGTGTTTTAAAAGAAAGTATATATACTGTATATCTTTCTTAGTAGTAATTTGGGTAGACAGCAACCACCCAGGGAGGTACATCTTTCTGCCAAGTGATGTAAAACAAAACCCTTAATTGTTTTACATGATGGTAGGTTTCTGGTGTCTTTTTCTGGCTCTTAAACTGCAAGATTTCAGGTACGTCTTGCTACTTCTACTTACCTTGGGACACACACAAAACTGTAAAGCATTATATACACACCCCCTTGGGTTTTCTTCTATTTTCTTTTAGTTTTGTTCTTATTTATTTTCCCCTTACCTCCCTGGGAAGTGGAACAGAATTCTTCCTCCCTAAGCCCTGGGGGTTTTAAGAGGGACTAAAATGCCGGGGGCAAGGGGCCCAGTAACCCCTTCCTGTATAAATTATAAATTAAAAAAAGAAACTTTCGTTTTTCTTTTTTGGGCCCCCCTGCCTTGGGGGGGATAGGAGTTTTGTTTTAAGAAAAAAAAAACTTTTTTTCTTTTTTTCAACACACCGGCCCAAACCCACCAGGCAGGGTGGCCCAAAAGAAAAACGTAAGCTTCTTTTTTTACATTTAGTAAAATATACGGAAAGGGGTTACCACCCCCGCTCCCCGGGATTTTTTTCGCCCCTTAAAAACGCATGGTTCGGGGGAAGAATTTTATTTCACTTCCCCATGGGGAAAAGAGGAAAAAACAAAAACAAGAACTTAAAAGAAAATAGAAAAAAACCCCGAGGGGGGTTTTATATATAGCTTGTACATTTATGTGTAGTGTGACCCCAAGTGTAAGTAGAAATAGCAAGCTACCTGAAATCTTTTCATGTTTATGGCAGACAAAAAACCCCAGCAATCCTAATCATGTAAAACAATTTCAGGCTTTCGTTTTCATTACTTGCAGGATGTAGTACAGTGGTTTTTCCCCCATTTCGAACTTTCTTTATTCCTGAAGGGTGTTAAGGACGTTAGAAAGAATTTTTCCCATAAGGGGAATTTTGAAATTAGATTAGTCTTTTCAGACCCCCAAAAATACACTTACAAAAGCACTGACAATAATACACTTACATAAATGGTCGAGTTGGGAGCAGTTCAAAACTCAGGGTACCACTGTATCTCCCTGGGCGTTTGTTGTCTACCAACCTACTACCTAGTTCTTACTTTAATTACCTGGAGTTTACCTGGAGAGAGTTCCGGGGATCAACGCCCCCGCGGCCCGGTCTGTGACCAGGCCTCCTGGCGGATCAGAGCCTGATCAACCAGGCTGTTACTGCTGGCTGCACGCAATCCAACGTACGAGCCACAGCCCGGCTGGTCAGGTACAGATTTTAGGTGCTACATATGTGTCATCATCTGTACACAGCCACAGTATTGTGACTATTCTTTCTTGACATTATCTGTTTTGAAATCACCTTACATACAATAAGAATACATACAGTTCAAGACCACCAAAGGTACCTGGAATTTGTAAGTGGTTGAACTATATCAATGTATCTGTGAGAAGCAACAATTCTCCTGAATTCTGAAATAAAATAATCTAAAACTACATTTCATAACAAAATTTACAAGCTAAAATTAAATACCTATATGATAAAAAAATGCATGAAAACCAAAAATGAAAATGAGCAACTTATGAATACCTGATTGAGAGAGGTGTCTGCGAAGGACCACCCTTCCTGGTTGGTAATGATGTAAAGGTTGGTCAGAGTAACGGTGGAGTGTGCAGTACTTGCTTGCTTCAAACTCTACACCCAGGATCAGTTCAAGTAAATAAAAGCAAAAAAAAAATATGTTTAATAAAAATTAAAAACAGAACAAAACAAAACTTTTAACTCTATAAATCATAATACAAGTTTTAGTTCTACAAGCGTTTAGATAAAAGAACACGCGAAAATTTAAGAATCATTTGAACAATACAGTTTAACAGTAGCTTTCCAATACCTCTAAGCATTTATGCCATACACATTTAAAAAATTTCACCCAAGAATATATTATTTTTTTAGTATTACACAGAAAAATTAACTGACAGTCATAATAAACTGAATACAGTGGACCAACACCTTTTGTACCTCCACCTACTGTATTTCCATCTGTTCACAATTCATTTTTTGTATATTTCCTCCACTGTGAAGGTTTCCCACCAATGCACAGTTCAACGAGATTAACAAAATCACTGGCTGGAACAAATGTGGCATCAATTCTTTGTAAAAGAAGATAGATGGCTCTAGCTGTGGGTACTTTAGTGAAAAATTGATAACACCCTTGACCTTCCAGTTCCAGCTAGTAATTTTGTTGATCTCATTTAATTGTGCATTGGTTTTAACTTTTTCCTTTTGAAAATTCTTTCTTTCAATAGACTTTCAGTCTACCAAAGAGCTCACCATTACTGTTCTGGTGAACCTATACCTGGAGCATCTTAAAGCCAAGAGATTTTTCCTCCATCATCCCCTGCATGGTCACCTGGCTCCATTATACTGATGACAGTCTCATCATAACTCCCAAGAACTTCAACATCTCTGCACTCCAAGATAAGGACAACCAAGTCAAGCCCTCCATCCAGTTCACACTCAAAGAGGATGTCTATGGTGCACTACCTTTCCTTGATGTTCTCTTCTGTAAATCTGATCATGAACTGTGATTCAAAGTCCACCACATGCCTACCAATCAACATGACATGATCTTCTTCACTATTACTTGCACCATTACATCAAGACAAAACATAGTACCATAGGCTTCTTCCTCAGAGTTCACAGTAGCAAACTGAGGTAGAATGCTCTTTCCTAGAACAGCCTTTTTCTCAACTTCACTATCATTGTCATTTCATCAGAGACTGCAGGCACCATGCATACATCATCTTCAACTCGCCTAGAAAACACGTAACCAAAAGATACATAGTCTTCCGTAACAACTCTATTGTTGAAAATATCGCCAGTATTTTCTCCAATGCCAAATTCCAAGTATTCACCACTGTCTCCACTACAAGAAAGAACATCAACTCAAAATCATGGCAGGGGTATACACAATTTTTTGCAACAACTGTGACCAATTATACATGGAAGAAACACCAAGACACTTAACACTTGTATTTCAGAACACAAATATGCTGGCAGACTGCACCAACTGAACAATGCCTATGTTTCCAACAGAAACTCCCATAACCACCTGATCAATTAAAATGGTATACAACTCATTGTTACAGAAAACACTTCAAAATGCAGTTTTCTAGAATCATCACTAATCAGCAGATCGAGCAACTTTAACCAGAACAATAGTTTCCACAATATAGCTAAACCTCTTGCCAAGAAACTTTATCACTATCCCATCAATCAACTGGTCACAGCATACTGGAACACTGCAGGTCTACAGGCCCCAAACTAGACAGGTCCTTCTCAACTCTAACCTGTCCTCAGCCATACATTTGTCTAACTTGTCATCAGTCTATCCACATTAGTTTCAATATACCTCACCTGATTTTCATGTCATTATGTTCACTATTAATATATATGAACATCTTGTCTCCCCAGGTAGATTGTTTATGACTTGATAAATCTCCTCATGATGGTATTTTATGCCATATCTCCACCTTGACAGCAACTGGAAATTCAACCCTGACATCCAGCACATAACAAAGAAGGCCTCTAAATTAGTATGTATTGTCTTCATATGTTACTATATACTTTGTACTACTCTGATCTAACTCTATGTCACCTATGGTGTTTGTGCCTGGGGATCTACTATAGCAAATCACCTTAAACCAATAACAACTTAACAAATAACAGATGAACAAATAATTACCCAGTCTTCTACTAGCCAATACATGCCCCTACTCTTGAAAAGTTTCAAATTACTTGATATGCATATATAATATTGACTCATACAAAGTGCATTCTATGTGTATATCTTTCTTTCAACAAACGGGCTGTATCCCACCAAAGCAGGGTGGCCCAAAAAGGAGAAACAAAAGTTTTTCTTTTTAACTTCAGTAATGTATACAGGAGAAGGGGTTACTAGCCCCTTGCTCCTGGCATTTTAGTCGCCTCTTATGACATGTATGGTTTACGGAGGAAGAATTCTCTTGCACTTTCCCATGGAGATTATTATTATTATTATTATTATTCTTTCAACAAACTAGCCATATCCCACCAAAGAAGGGTTAATTATTATTATTATTATTATTATTATTATTATTACTACTGGCTGATCCTATATAGGTCCTACTCTCACAACTATTTCCAATCATTTATTTAAAAAAAAAATTAGAACTGTGTAACATTAGTAGAAAATCTCTAATTACAGTACATGAGAACATGAGAAAGAAGGAACACTGCAACAGGCCTACTGGTCCATGCCACCCCCCGGCTTAGAGCGATGACCACCTAGTCAGGTCACTTCCATTTATGGAAGGAGCACGGCACCAGACCTGGTAGCACAAGCTAGTCAGGCCCAACTCACACCTACCCACACCCACTCATGTATTTATCCAACCTATTTTTAAAACTACACGATGTCTTAGCCTCTATGACGGTACTTGGGAGTTTGTTCCACTCATCCACAACTCTATTACCAAACCATTGCTTTCCTATGTCCTTCCTGAATCTGAACTTTCCCAACTTGAAACCATTGCTGTGAGTCCTGTCTTGGCTGGATATTTCCAGCACACTATTTACATCTCCTTTATTTATTCCTGGTTTCCATTTATACACCTCAATCATATCCCCCCTAATTCTACACCTTTCTAGAGTGCAGATTCAGGGCCCTCAGTTTATCCTCATAGGGAAGATTTCTGATACACAGGATCAGCTTTGTCATCCTCCTCTGTACGTTTTCCAGTGCATTTATATCCATTCTGTAATATGGTGACCAGAACTGTGCAACATAATCTAAATGAGGCCTAACCAAGGATATATATAGTTGAAGAACAACCTGAGGACTTCTATTATTTATACTTCTTGATATGAAGCCAAGGATTCTGTTAGCTTTATTGCGAACACTTATGCACTGTTGTCTTAGTTTCAGGTTACTGCTAACCAGAACTCCTAAATCCTCTTCGCAATCAGTAGTATTAAGATCTACACTATTCAGTTTATAAGTGGCATGATTATTGTCCTGTCCAACATTTAGAACTTTGCATTTGTCTACATTAAACTGCATCTGCCACTTCTCTGACCACTGCATCAGTCTATTCAAATCATCCTGGAGTGCACTAAAAGGTTGAAGCAGCTGAAGTTAATTCCATATTATATCAAGTTCCTTTAATGGTTGTCATATGCACACTAATGGCTGGCTATCTCAGCATTTTAAAATTTAATGTTCAGCTCCAACATGCAGGATTATACTGTGTGGTGAATATAGAAATAAAGTAGTTTAAAATTAGGTTTTGAAAGTGCCTATCTAGAACAGCAGTCAAAACAATAGATCACGTAGAGTGACCAAACTGTAAAGCAGCATGACTGAAGCAAATACTTTGGGCAGCTATAAGCTGAGTTGGACAGATATACAAGAGGAAATGTTTGGGTGAGAATTGGATATGTCTAGCATGGGCCAGTTGGCCTACTATACTGCTCTTCTATTAATGCATTTTTATAGAAATTAAAACACTGTTCTGTTCATCATTGTAGATGAGTGAAATGTGTGGGGAAAACCAAAAAGGCACATATTGTATGTTAATTTTATGCTTGTATGGTGAGTTCATCTTTGTTCAGTAGACAGTGACTAAGAACAGTGGATTTAATAATTACACTGGTTTGTTAGGCCCCTTGGGCAGTGGCTCAACTTTGTCCTGTATCTGATTAATGATTGAAATGTAGCAGCTCATGGTATTCATACTATAGCCCAGACATGCAAGTACCCTTGCAACAACCATCTTACACAATACACTCACTGCCCTGGCATCAAATACCCTTGTCATAATACTAAGAGGGTGGAAAGCATATGTAAAGAATGTTATATTAGCTATGATTGGAGAAACATTAGGAAATGGGAGGGGAAGAGAGGACTTCATCTGAATATTGTACTCTGCATTGTTTTTAAGTTTTTATTTAACAAAAATGACAAATTAGACAAAGTATTATAGTTTGAGAGCTCTTCTCCAAATATTACACGAGTGATAATGGGAAAATAATTTTGCAGTTCCAAATACACGAGTTTATGATGGATTTCCAATAACATCTCATTCAATGGAAATTATACTGTTTTATTATTTTCCCTATTAGTTTTTCATCCACTGAACTGATAATTTGTGCAAGTTTAGTCATGTGTGAAGTTTAATAACTATTATGCACCCCTATACCCTTCCAGAAGGTGGTAGTCAAAAGGATTACAGAGGTACATAATGGGTTCAGATACTGGGCCACAATGTTTCCATAGCTAAAAAAGTTAGTGATAATGAACTATTTACAGGTTTATGATCTGGTAACAATGATAATGAGGAGTTTACACAGACATGAATCCAGTCATAAAAACATTGTAGTGTTATTTATATGTGACTGAGTTATTGGTATTTATAATTTCCAGCATTTTCATAAAGTATGGTTGAATTTAGACAAGTTTAAATGGTTATGAGTTATTTAGAATAAGCAAAGCCTGGATAATTTTCCAGAATGGTTGTTAATATGCCAATGTGGATAAAATAATTTGACATTTCTTGAACATTTATGAGTGAATTGTTTCTGAATTCATGAATCTTTTAGATCATACTACTAATAACATGCAATATAGACTAAAGTGTATATGTTGTTTTACCATCAGACACAGCAGAAACTTCATGTGGCAAGTTATGCTGAGATCCAGTGTCACTGCTAGATACCAGGGAGAGGTTAGATCCATCAGTCTCTGCTGTTTCAACTCCAACAGTGCCACAGTTCCTACTCACTACACCACCACACAGTTCTGCCATATTACTATACACTGGCTGGGGCACAACTGAAAACAGTATCACAAAAATAATTAAAAACCAATGTTCAGCTGCACCAAGGGCAAACAAGTATCTAAATAAAACATACAGGTTAGGAAACAAATGAATTTGTAAGTTTCACTATACTGTATCACTTTTCTACTTTAGTGGAACACATACAAATATTAACACATCTTATAAGGATTAGTAGTGGCCTTATCATGATTTTAATTTATATACTTTCTTCTTTCAACGTACCAGCCGTATCCCACCGAGGTGGGGTGGCCCAAAAGGAAAAACAAAAGTTTCTCCTTTCAAATTTAGTAATATATACAGGAGAAGGGGTTACTAGCCCATTGCTCTCAACATTTCAGTCACCTCTTATGACATGCATGGCTTACGGAGGAAGAATTCTGTTCCACTTCCCCATGGAGATGATTTATATACATGTAGATAAATTTACCAGAAGGAGTAAAATTACACAAGTGGTATTTTTATATATTTGTAATCACACGTTGTATTGCGATTTCTTTCATGAGTGTAGAAATATATTTGTTGAAGATGTAAAAATGTTATGCAAAATAAGAAATCAAAATTATTTAAATCTCTACAGAAAATGGTTAGCTTGAGCAAGTGAAGTGATTAATGGAAATGGGAGCAAACAAAAACAAACCTCACTAGGAATATTAACTGATTCAATGCTGAAAATATTAGACAGAAAGAATTCTTAAAGTAGTTAAAAAATTCAATAGATCACCTAAGTAGAAACTTAAATGGTGTACTAGCAATCTTCATGAATATTCCGATGAATGGATGGCAACTTAGATCAAAAGTCGAACATACAGCTGTGGTGTGGTGTCTTCACCTAAATTATGAGGAAGCACTAAACTCATCGATATTATCTAGTGCTTGGTGAATAGGTAACCAAGTTTGATCTAAGGGAAGGGAAGTTCTAATTCCTTGGATCAAGAGACCTTACCAGCCCCAAGGCACCTCCCCTCTTCAAGAGTCCACACCCAAAACAATACTGTACTGTATATTATTGTAACCACAAATGAGTGGTATTGATCAATAACAACACTGTGCTAGCCAAGGATTCGAGCCCATGTTGTACTGGCCCACCATTGTGAGCGAGAACCACATGACACCTTAACCCACAGGACCACCCAATCCTACAAGAATCAAGAACCCAGCCAAGCTAGGTGTGTTACTCTTGGTCCGAGGACATACGGAGGTGTGGGAGCTTTCAAACTAATTTTATTCTCATCCCTGTTTGGTGTACTAGCCTACAAGCATGGGTTCGAATCCTTGGCTAGCGCAGTGTTGTAACTGTACTGTATACAGATGAAAATCCATATGCTGCACATGCTACCTAAATAAGACAAGTTACAAAGACTATAATGCTAAAAATTCAGTCACTGGCAGATTGGAGAAAAAGGAGCAGCATGATAAACACACATTATGGTACTGTGCAGCCATTGGATTCCAACATAAAAATCTCATTCCTCTGTGCACAGTTCTTGCCCCAATTCTCTTTCTCATATCTGAAAAACAGACACTGCTAGAATTTGTAAGAGAACTGAAAACACTGAGAACAAAGCAGCTCTCAAGTACATAGATGTTAAAGTCAGCCAGGGGCACACAGACCACAAAACTTTGTTCAAGAATAAATTTCAGCAATATCTAATGTGAATACCACACAAAGACTACAGTGTGTAGACATTAACCCTTTGGGGGTCAACAGGTCCTCTCAGAGACTTGTTCTCAGGGTCGGCCAAATTAAAAAAAAAAAAAAAAAAATTATTTTTCTTATGAAAAAATATTTTTTTTTCTAAACATTATAGGCTAAACAAAAAATTTTTACCATCAATACTTACCGACATAAGGAGGCGTGAAGTTGAAAAAGGGGCACCATGTGGCAACATCGTCGACTCCTGTCACCCGGTATTCTTTTATTTACGTTTTTATGTACTATTTTCTATTATTTTTTAATTTTTCTTTTTCCAAGTAACTTTTATGGCCTGTGAGACCAATATGATCAGTATTTTGTAAGTTATTTCTTTTTCAATACTACACAATAATGGCATAAACACTGTTGTCATTGTTTTGTTTACAGAAAATATTTACACAAACGTTATGAAATGTTGTTTATTACTATTTTTCTATATTTTATATACACATATACAGTCACAGGGAATGTTTCTAGAAGTTCTGCAGCCTGTGGAACTCTCTGAAACATGGTGTCATGCACAGTGGTGTTTTACACTCCTCACACATAAAACGAGTGTCTCTGCGTTGTTGTGGGCATTTTCTTGTATGTGAACAGACGTAACACCTCCTCTGAGCCTTTTTCTTGAAAGCAGTAGCAGGCAGTTTTACCAGGAAGTGATCACCATGCTTCAAACGAGAAGGAAGTTGTTGAAAATTTGGTGGGCGGTCTATTGCAGGTGTTGTTCCTTGGTACTTGAATACTATTTGTCTGATGACAGACAAACAGAATTCGCCGTATGGTGGTTTGTTTCTGGTCCTCATCTTGTACATATTATAAGCATTCAGCATGGAAATGTCCGGAAGATGGAAAAAGAGTTATGTACCACTTATAACTCTTGCGAACACAATCGGCAAACCCAATCTGTATGTCACATTTGTCCACTGAACGCATATTGAAGGTGTAATCAATCACAGCTGCAGGTTTTAGAATGGGTTCATTGCTCTCTCTATGCTGCCTGCCAGTGTCTGCCATTTCATTAGGGTGAACTGATGACAACAGTGTGACATCTCGTTTGTCATACCACTGAAATGCCATAATGTCATTGGCAGCAAACGCCTGCACCTCACCTCTACGAGTGCCAGTGTCAAACCTGGGCATATGTTTCCGATTTGCATGCACTGTGCCACACACATCTGTCATGTTCACTCGCAAAAAATCACAGTGTGGGGCTTGTGTACCAGTTATCTGTATATAATATATGCCCCTTACCAAGGTATGGTTCTATAATTGTTCAAACCACATCACCAGAGATGCCCAATAACTTCCTGGTATTTTGCAATGTATAACTTCCAGTGTACACAATAATATCCAATACCAGACCACTGTAACAATCACAAAGCACAAACAACTTTATACCAAAACGTTTCCTCTTGCTTGGTATGTACTGCTTGAAAGAGAGAGTTCCTTTGAACAGAATCAAAGACTCGTCAATTACAAGCTTCCTGAAGGGATAAAAATACATATTGAATTTCTCTTTCAGATACACAAACACATACCTAATCTTATATAACCTGTCGTTTCTGTCAGGCCTGGTTTTGTCTAAGTGAAACATACGTAACACTAGCACAAATCAATTCACTGGCATTATATCACTGAAACCTGGGGTTGCAATCAGGCAGTCTGTTGACCAGTATGATTTCACACTGTGCTTATACACATGTGGCATAAGCATTATTGTGGCAAAGAAAAGATAAATCTCAGCCACAGTTGTCTCCTTCCACTGGTGTAGACGTGATTTTGGTGAAAGTATTGTGTTTGTCATGGTGTACTCGTAGTATGTGTTGCTTTCCATGACAATACTTTCCATCAGAGGCTCGTCAAAGAATAACTTGAAACATTCCAGTTCAGTGGCACTGTTTCCCAGTGTACAACATGACCATATTCCACTTTGTCTGTCATCAAACTGGTGGGGATTTGGAACAAAATTGACAGCTACCTGCCAATCCCAGGTGCGGTCTGCTGGTGGGTACTGGACAATAACAGGTGGTTGTGGTTATGGAGGTTGTGGTTGTGGAAGTTGTGGTTGTGGAGGCTGATGTGGTGGGTGGGTGGGGGATGGTGGCCTCTGTTGTAGATCAGGTGAGGCAGCGGCGTGGGTGGCAGCAGCATGGGTGGCAGCATGGCCCACTGCTGGTGCCTCACGCCTGGCACCACCACCATGCACATTTTCCATCCCAACTGCAACAGTATCATCGTCATTTTCACTGTCAGTTCCTGTCGTACAGCCACGGGATGTACTCCGAGATGTACTCCTTCCTCTTGGAATAGCATATGGTACACTACCAGAGCGCATATATCGTCGTATATACTGACGCTTCACTGGGGAATATTGCACTTCACTATCACTACTGGAACTAGTTTGAAGAGCTTGTAGTTCATAATCACTATCACTATCATCACAAATGCTCACATCTGAGTCTGGGATTTGGGAAAATAGGAGTTTCCTCTTTGATTCTGGTACAACTGAACGTGAACAAGACGGCCCAGCACCAGAGGTGGAAGGCTGAGGGTCGTCTGGGTTTTCCTCACTATTACCAATACTATGGTCATTAGTTTCAGTCAAAACCTCACTAAAACCTTGAAACTCATCTTCACTGGCACTTCCATCTGTATTAGAAATGTCACTGGGGAACAAAAGTGTCCCAATTCGCTGAGGAGTGAGGAACTTCTTACCGCTTGGCACGGTGGACATTGTTTACTAAGATGGCATTCCTACAATGCACCACTGGGTCCCAGATTTTTTTCTACCATGCACACCCACCACACAGACCCATTCTCTCACATCTAGACCTACCAGCCTTTTCCCGCGAGATTTGACGGCGCTAGAATTTATGCGTACTAGTACGTCAAAAAACCCTGCGCGTAAGCGTACTAGTACGTCCGAAACCCCGAAAGGGTTAAAAATGTGATGTAGGAGTCAAGAGTAAAATTCAGAGGGCTGATGAGTGTTTCTGAGGTGGCCTGGGCATACAGAGGGGATGGAGAGGGGACAAGATGACAAAAAGGGGATGTATAAATTTGGGGCAGGAGGGTTAGGGGGGGGTGATCCCAGCAATAGTTGGAGGCAGGAGGGTAAAAGAGGCTTTGAGTTTTAGGGGCTTTTGTGAGCGTGTTAGACAAGAGTGAATAAACAAGAGGTTAGGTTAGGTAACGTTCAGTAGGAAACAGGACAAGAGTTTCCTGATGCAGGTCTCAGTCATATGATGACCTGCCACTGGAGCTCTTGGTCATCTGACTGAGGCCTTCCACTGGCTTACC